AACAGAATCCAGGTGTTGAGACATGACAACAAAGATTCAGAGTTGTTTTCAGTTGAGTTGCTCCCCTTTTCTTTAGTGTCCTTGTTATGTTTAGGACATCTCCCACTCCAATCCTCAACCTACCCTTTCCTCCTTGCCTCACTCTTTCAATCTTCAAAAAGGTCATCTTGTGCTTATGGCTTCCACCCTCTTAGCACGAGGTCTGTTATGTAAGAGCGGAGTTTCACTTTTCACATACTGCTGGCAAAGCCTCATGATCATGCCTGTCCTGTTGAGCATTTCATATGCTTACCTCTACATTTGAGTCTTAAAAGCAGAAGCGAAATGAGGAAGTAAAACAGGAGTATCATGTTGCTCAGTAGCATCTGGGCAACAAGCAAACACAATCCAGCTTTCTTCATCTTGCTAGACTGTTTTCCTATTAGGGAGGACTGGCATCTGTGAAAAGAGGGCTCCCCTAACTAGAAAGCAAAACGTCTGTACCTCATGGTAGCAGTGTGGGCGTGCAGCTGCATCAGGCTATTAGCACTCCAGAACAAGTTCTGCACAGTGAGAATAGTATCCTGCTGGACATTTACAACCAAATGCTTCCTGGATCAGAAAAGCTGATACTTTTGGAAGGGGTTATTAAAACCAGACTAAGGAGCCATAAGAACTCACAGTCATCTAGTAATGAAATCTAAGATACCAAGACTATCACTCTGCTTTCATACCCTATATTTATCTGAATACCTTGGGGATTGCTGGAGGGTCACCACATCTTCTCAACTATGTACCACCCATGTCCCTTTAACTATAAGGAAGGGAAGAGCTGCCCCAAAGTTTAGGAAGCTGTAGGATAGTAAGTAGAACTAAAAAAAAAGTTTCTCACCCAGTTAAGTTGGAATTAATGGTATAAAGATAAACTGTTACTTGTCCAACATCAGCTGCTTTCACTTGGAAGTCTGCTTTAGTGTGACCTGCAGGCAACTGTACCTGCAAGGCAAAGTGGAGGGAAGAAAGAGGAGAGTTGCACCATCCTAGTTGTAGGCTTTTGCATAAGGTCGTAAGTCTGTTCTGTCACTTACTTCATCAGGCAGTTCAACAATAGTGCTGTGTTTTGATGAGTGTGTAATATTAAGAGTTATCACCAGTGTCTCATTTAATGGAGCCCTGGGAAGGCAGAAAAAACAAGTTAGACTGGTGCCTCAGTCCACAAAGATTGCTTCAGGGCTGCGGGAGAGTATCTGCTCAATCCTCACAGTTGTGGGAAACATAATGAACAGTCCATACACAACAGTACCTACCTAGTACTCAGAGGAACACAAGCACCAAAGTGTGTTAGCGCTGTACTATTTTTTTATCTGACCTGATGGGCAGTTATATGGCCACATTTTACCTCCCTCTTCTCCACAAAAGCGGCAGAGCAGAGTCACTGCTACCAGAATCCTATCACTGTGCTTGTTAACCCTTTGCTGGTAAAGAGGGGCAGAAATGGTGGACATGTACTTGAGTGATGAGGGACAGAAATTATGGCAGTGTGGTAAGATGAAAACAAGTAACAAAAACCCTCCAAGTGAAATAATCCTGTACAGCTTTCCCCGAGAAGTCCACTGAGCATTTCTCCAAGAGGTTTAACTGTACAGCAGTACTTAAAGTATCACAAGGTTCAAACGCCTGTACCTGTCCATGAACAAGATTACAGTACCACATCTTTCTTTGCAAAAATAAAAGTTGTAGATTGTTGCAGCCATGTTTTGCTATTTGGGATCTTTGGGATCTCAAATTTTGGTTCTTTAACAATAATTGGCCTTGGGAAAAGGCTGACATAGCAAAAACATGGGTAAACAATGCACTGTAATAAACAATGAGACTAAGGTGCATCAGCCCCCACTCTGGAGCAGCTGCATGCATTTGCTAGAAATAGTGAGTTCTGTTTGCTTGGTGAAGTTTTTGTGTGTGTGTGTGATCCTTCTAGGAAATGCAAGTTTCTTGCTATTTTCCTCTTTATCACAATTCCTACATTGTCATCTGACTGTTCTCTTCACATATATTGCCTCCTCTTTGGGATCTCAAATTTTGGTTCTTTAACAATAATTGGCCTTGGGAAAAGGCTGACATAGCAAAAACATGGGTAAACAATGCACTGTAATAAACAATGAGACTAAGGTGCATCAGCCCCCACTCTGGAGCAGCTGCATGCATTTGCTAGAAATAGTGAGTTCTGTTTGCTTGGTGAAGTTTTTGTGTGTGTGTGTGTGATCCTTCTAGGAAATGCAAGTTTCTCTTAAGCATCTATTTTTAGAAATGGAGGAACTGTAAGTTCACCTGTGGAAGACAGTTTGGTAAGCTAATATAGGGCAGACAGTGTAAAACATCTTTTCCTGCTCAATTTTCCATACAAATGGCATAGGATATTGTCAGCGGCCAACCATACAAGGCTGTTTGTAAGAATGCTGCACTATCTTGGTCCATACTGGTACTAAGTGATGTAATAGTCTAGAAGTGGCCAGTCACACCAATGAGATTCACACTGTATGAACAATTAACTGAGTCTGGAGGAAAGTCTTAAGTATATAGGCAAGTCCTACTTGCTTGCTCGTTCTCCATTATGAAGAGAAAGTAAAGATGCAATCATGGTTTTACCTCAGAGAGATAGTGACGTTTGTTGAACTTCCACTTTCTAATGAAACCACTTCAGGGACAGACAATACGACGACTCCATCTGGGGGGTAAAAAAAAACCAAACAAACAAAAAACAAAACAACAACAACAAAAAAACAAACAAAAAACCCACTGAAAAACCCCACACAAATCTCAGTTACTGTGAATGATGAACAGCTCCTTCAGAAGAGCTACCTACTTTCTTTTGTGATATAGACATTTTGTCCATTGGCACCTGCAGTGTCAGATGAATACAATTAGTACACACAATAAACAGCAAAGGGAGTACAGCTTATTTCAAGGCGACTAAACAACTTAAAAGGAGAAGTAAATAACTGTCACTTGAACATGCTACAAGGAAGCAATTTAAATATTTGAAGTGCAACAAAAGTTCATGCCAAGAGAAGGCTATAGGATACTTCAAACCCACATGAATTGTTTCTTGATGCGATCCTAGTAACTTAGGAATCATAAATACCCAAAATTCAGTTTAAAATTGCTTCTTTGGTCATAAATTCAAACGAGGTACCCAGATGTTCAAGATAATGTACATTCACTATCTTATCACTTCAGGAATCACAAGCACCTTACTATAATGCTCTGAAATATCGCTATTAAGGGGTACACTTTACAACAATCCAGCTATGTTGTACCACATCATGCTTTAAGAGAGGCCAAGGTTCCAGGTGCCAATACAACTGATATCAAAACCATAAGCTGGTCACATGTCAACAATTTTGACATTTGGACTCCAAGTCTATTTTATTCATTATATGTGTAAAGGACACATGAGTGAAGAGGAAGAATAAAGAGCTATATAAAAATAAGACAAGAAACAGGGAGATAAACAGGTTGCCCTGGACACTTTTTTCTTATTGTCATATATCACACAGTGTTCTTAGGAAGGTATTTAAGTGCGGGAGAGCTCCCCAGGTCATCACTGACTGCACCACAGACAGGATTTAATCTGCTTCTGCAGAGACTGAGTTTGGAGCACCACGTGAGCTCTCCATCACATCAGTGCCTCAGCGTAGCACTGTCTGTCTGCGAGCGCACCAGGTCAAAGGTAGCGTGTGAAAGAAGAGCTGGTGATGGGAAGCATGGCGCTGGAATCCCCAGAGGGGTGTGACGGGGATACTGCAGAGCTGCCCTCTTCCACCTCTTACCAGTTCAGACCTGGCCCCTGCCCGGGAGGCCCTCTGGGCCCAAGCTGGGATGGCCAAACACTCACCGCCAGGCCCCAGCAGCACAAGCAAGAGGTACAGCAGAGTAGGGAGCAGGTATTGCATCCTCATAGTAGAAGAACTGCAGGAAAAGTTAGGAGACGGCTTTGCTCAAGACCCACACGTTTTGAGGGAGCACCAGACCATCCCCATAGCCGGCAGCTCCCTGCAAATAGCTCCCTCCCAGCACCATGTCCCCCGGCCCCGCCCAGCTGAGGGACCCTCAACACCCCTGAGAGGGTATCGGCCTTTCAATCCCTCTGTCTGCTCAGCCTCCCCTGGGGACATCTTCCCCTCACACCACACAGAGCTACCACCACCTAAGGGATTCCCCCGCCCCCCGCCGCCACCCGCGCCGGACTACAAATCTCAGCAGCCACCGCGCCTCCACTAGCCTCCCCACCCCGGCAGCGCACCGCGATGCACGCTGGGACTTGTAGTCCCCCCCGTCCTCCCCTCAGGACACACAGTGAAGCCAGCCATCCCACGCTTTAGGATGCGCTAATACTGAGAAAGCGGTACTGAGGCGAAGGCGCCTACCTCCTTCCAGCGCCGTAACTCCGTCCCGCACAGGCCCGACTCTTCCCTTTTCAACTTCTCACGTGAGGTGGCCGCCTATTAACTCCCCGCCCAGCACCCATCGCGCATGTTGCGCCTGTGCGGCCGCCCTCGGGTGCCATCTTGGGTGTGGCAGAGCGAGTTGAGCGCTGGGCTAGAACAGGCCAGTGTGTGAGGAGAGTGAGCTGCGGGCGGAGAGGCCGACTCGCCGCTTCGCTTGTTTGTTGGAAATTTCGTTTAAAGCTGTACGGGTCACCGGGGAGGGTTGGGGAAGGAGTGGTTTGTCACGCTCAAGATGGAGGGGTAGTGCCCAGGCACTGCTGAGGGGGGACGTCTTCAGGCAGAGGGCAAAGTCCAGGCCGCTTGCCCAGCCCAGCCTGCCTAGTCCATGTGCGCTGCTGGGGTGGGAGCCCACACTGCTTGTTTCCTCTGCACCCTTGGCTCTTGGGGCAGGTGCCCCCTCAGAGGCGGCAAGGAGCAGTATGGGCCTCAGCATGGTGGTTGTTGGTCCAGCCACCATGTAGAGAGAGCTGTGGATGGTAGGGAAGGTGAAAGCAATCTCCTCTCCCTGTAGCCATGGCGGGCACTGAGGCGGGAGGCAGGCCTGCTCCTGCCTGCGTGCTGGGCATAGACCTGGGCACGACATCTGTTAAGGCAGCCCTGTTGATGGGGACAGAGCAAGGGCAGGTGGTGGCAGAGAGCTGCTCCAGGGAGACGCAGGCACACACCAGTAGCCTGGATGCTGGACCTCAGGTAAGGGGTGGCGGGTAGCATTGCTGGCAATTTCAGGATACTGGCCTTGCCTTGTAGTGGTCGGGTTGTTTTGCTATATTGTGCAGACTTCAGTAGCTTTCCTGGATTGTTTTTGTGATTAGATTAACAGATGGTTGCTGCATGTGTCTGGATGTCTGAAAGTAGAATTAAAATGTTCTCTGGTGTTCAAGAAAGTACTCAGGTTTTGAAAAGTTGCATAAGACAATCTAAAACTATTCTCCTATGAGCTATCACCTTGTCTTTGACACTGCCGGTGAGGAAACAGCAACCACTTGCCAACTGGAAGGGTATTTTGCACTGTAATATGAGATGGACTAACAACTGGAAGTTCCCTGTGGAAATAACCAGGAACATGTATTCCCGTTAAAGATCTTTACATTCATTGTGTTGGTCAGCCTAAGAAAGGATGAATGAAAATCATAAAAAATACGTATCAACATTCTTCTGTCCTAGTATTGTAGTGAGTTCAGGGGCTAGTTTCTGAGCAAAGATACCAAACAGGCCAACCCTCCTCTCTACAGTTGTGTTTATGCAGCCAAAAGTATGTGTGTGCAGATTAGTTCACATCTGTATGTAGATTGTATTTGAATATTTTTGCTTATAATCTTCATCCTGGTCTGTCACAAAGTAATCTGAATCTTTAGAAGTGTGAAAGATGGAATACAGCTTCTCTTGTGACACAGTTTGGTCAGTTTGCTGAGTGGATCAGTTTGCTGGGTAGTTCTAGTAATAGAGTAGCTAGAAATGAAATATCAGCATCATCAAAATCAATGGTGAGTAGATACGGAGGAGCTTTAGGAAGATGTAAGGGAGGCTGCATGCTAGTCAGAACACACAGATAATGCTCTTTGTGGGGAAAAAGAGCAGCAATATATAAGGTGAACTGATGAAAACATATAGTGAGTGTTAATGGAATATTTAAAAAGGTATATTTGAGTATGGTAACTTAGGAAATGAAAAATTATTTGGCCTTCAGTTTAAGAGGTTATTGTCTCATTCCCCACTTGCTAGTATTGGTTTTTATTTTTGTGGTTTTGTGGGGGTTTTTTGCATTCTTTCTTTTTTTTTCCAATTTAGTAGTGAATGTTACTCTAATACATGCTATTAAGCTTAAATGAATTCTGTTCATTGCTTCTGACTAGAGTAGCTTTGTTTAAGGAATACAGTGAGGGAATCCTAATGGTTTCATGCTCAGAATAATGCTTTATGATTACAGGGAATGGAGCAGAGTGTCTGGAGGATAATAAGAGCATTGAACGAATGCCTTGCTGCTCTACCTCAGCAGCAGCTTCAAAGAGTCAGTCACATTGGAATTTCAGGACAAATGCACGGGATTGTATTTTGGAAAAAAGATAAAGGTAATACTAATTCTTTGGCATTGCTGTTCAGAGTATTATGATGCAGAAAATACATTTTTAACACTGAAGTGATCTGTAGGAAGCTGTTGCATGTTCACTTTGGTCTTCTGTAAAACAGAATTAACAGAAGATCTTTTTCAGTGAGAATTTTGCTTTAATTACTGGAATTTCAGCTACTGACTATAGTTGACCATGTTGTTTACACAGATTAGTTAAAGGATTTAGTCTTATGAGATCCTTGCAGAGTCAGGATCCCTGCAGAGTCAACACAATTATTAATATGAAGGAGGAATAACATATTTGTGGCTTGCTAATTGCTTGTCCATCATATGCTATCTGCTGCCAGTTGAAAGAACTTCTGAATCATGTGAATTACAGTTTTTGTGGGGGGAATGTTATTCATCTCGTAAAACACTTAACTAGCTGTTGTCCAGTATCTCAATACCTTCTAATGACTCTACAGTAGCAGTATTAGCAGTTCTGTGTATGCCTGGAAAAATAAGCTATGCTTGATCTTTACGTTAGAATGTGCATCGCAGTAGCTATCCAACAGTGCTATTTTGAAATGCCGTTTGAAAGTACAGTAAGAGAAAAACTGAAGTTCAGTAAGCAATGTTTTCATTCCTTTCCTCCTCCAGCCCACCCCCATTTTTAAAGGCTTTTTTTTCTCCCCTAGCAAGTCATAGACTGTCATGTTGCATTTGTCTTGCTGCTTATGCTTCCATTATTAGGACCTGAAAAAGAATTGTGGTCATGATTCTGAATACTCAGCTGCTTGTAGAATGAAGGGCCAAGACCTCAGAAACAAAATCAGCCACAGTGAGGTAGTCACATAAGGCTTGATTGTGCAAATACTCAAATAATCTTTGTGACAGCAAGGATGTTTGAAAAATTTAAGTCTTGGATTGCCAGGCAAGTGAGATAGGGATGGATTATCTTCTTGGCTAACATCCTATAAACCTACTGAAGTCTAAGGCTTTCAGAATGTGGTTCCATGTCTTCTTTCTCTTTACCTTATGATGCGCGCATCTGAACAATTAGAAAAGTCTTACAATAATAGCAGTCATACAGATTAAGCAAAGATTTATTGTAAACCACGGAATAGATTTCCCAGAAGTGCTGGTCACTGCCTGTCAAAAGTTGTCAGGGTCTTAATTGCTTTGAGAGACCCTATGCTATTCATTACTGGCTGTAATTGTACGTTAAATACTAAAATGATTAGAAAGAAATCCAAAGGCTGATGGACTGAAGGAGCTGGAGCTGTTGCTTGCTTTCCTGCTGTCCCAAGGGCTGCATAACAAAGCCTCATGGGGTCATGGTAGACATAGGTTCTTATGTCATATTGGTTAATATTTTATTTCCTAAAGCCACATGCCACTTTTGTTTCATTTCTATCAAGTGAAAGAGGGTGTTTGCTCTCACTTGTTTTGAGTAGACTAAATGAATCCATGCACTTTGGGACACAAATTACATTTTTAATGGCATCCTTTAGGGTTAGATTTATGGCTAATAATATTTCTTAGAATCCATTTAAAACTAGAAAAGCAAACAAATTGGAAATTCAGTTCAAACAGACTTGATAGAAAGGGAATTGAGGGAACAAGAAAAAGTATGTGTTTGCTTTGCATGTTTCATATAGTACTTCCCAGCTTTCACAGCTGCTTTTTACAGTGTGAGTGTAACTTCAAATCCCTGTATCCAGCCCAAGGAAGATTCTTTTTAGCTGTATTTGTGCTAGTCAGTTAAGCAGCTGGGTCTCTTTTCTGACCTGTAGGACAAGTGGCACACCACAGCTTGAAACTCTGCTCCCATCCCCAGCGAAAAAATAAAAAGTTGCCTCAGTTACAGAGCCAGCTAGAGACAGTATGTATCCCCACATTGTGGCCAGACATCGCCTGGGAGTGCGGTAGTTGTCAGAGGTTGAAGCTGTGCTGGGGAGTGCACTAGCAAACATCACATGCCAGTGACTGGCCTCAGCCTCTGCTTAGTTTACTGCTTGGACAGGGCCGTATTGCTGCCTTTGCAGGACTGCTTATGGTGAGCATGTCAGGGCAGGAAGTAGCACACTGAACTGGAGCGATAGCAGATGTTGCTGAGAAGGCTCTGAGCAGCTCTGAGAAGTAGTGTTCTGTGTTCAAAAGGAACATACTGGACTGGTAAAACTGAAAACTGAGTTAAAGCCTATTCTACCTTTGATGAAGCTTTGTTGTGCAGCACAGGGGAGGGATAATCTTTAGTACTTTGCAGTCCATTGCTTAATACATAGAGATCCAGGTTTCCTGTTGCTTTGGCTCAGAAGGCGATGAAACTATGTGGTATCCATCATAGGCAGTTCATTACTATATACAGCAGTCTCTATGTCGTGATGTGGCAGATCCCAGTTAAGGCTTATATGTGAGAGCTGTCATATCAGCTCATTACCTCCCATAGCAGAATTGTGATTTTTTTCTGTTATTTAAGTTGCATCTTTAGTATCTCAAGGTGCAAGTTACATGTTCCTCTAGGCACTAGGAGTGCTTATAGAGAAGGAAGGCCTTGAATACCATTCTGTGTTTTAGCAAAGGATGACTGGCATTATGACGTTATCTAGGGCTGAATATTGTGACTAATTAATTTGATTACAGTCACTACTGGCTCTGTTTCTGCTCTTTTTCCAATATAATTGACAAATTATCATGAGTGTCCAGAAATTAAAAATGCCAGGCAGACTACACTGCAGGGAATCTGGACTACATTGACTTCTCGGACACTGTGTGTTTCAGGTTGCAAGTGGACAGAGTGTGGTACAGGGCATACCTTTGAGCCGGACGAGGTCAGTCACCTGATTACTTGGCAGGACGGTCGCTGCAGTCCCACCTTCCTCTCTTCTCTTCCTTTGCCACAGTCACATATCAGCTTGGCTACAGGATTTGGGTGTGCCACAGTCTATTGGTATTTAAAGAAGAGGTACTGTTTCACTGGCAGTTTCTCATCTTGAATTTATGTGACGATTAGTATTCCTGTAGCCTGTTAATGCCACTATAGGCTAGGGGGCTGTGATTCTCTGTAATCATAATATTAAGTAGTCAAAGAATATTTAAAATGTATTCAATATAAACTATATGCAACTGAGCACACAAGAGTCTCTGACCTCATAAAAATACTACAGATCTCCTTAATAAAAAGAAAAGCTTCTGACCATATAGTAACGGAATCCTTAAAGTATCGCAGAATAATTCTAGTCTGTTGTACCGCTCAGAGGAGCTCTGCTAATGCAGTTTGAACACTGTAATTTTGCCTTGTGCAGATTGTGAAAAGTACAAACGTGCCTAAAACAGTAATAGGGTCGCGTTTGTCTGCTTGCTGCCAGATGCTAAACCAAACAGTCCCTAAATTAATTTCAGTTCCTTCCTGCCTCAGACACTGAGATCCTTATGAGGTGTTAGGAATGGCCTGCTTTGTTGTGGCATGTTTGCAGAGGATATAATTTTTCACTTATGACTTGGCATCAGCAAGATTTGTTCTTTAGTTTAGCCTGCAGTGTGCTATGTTTCTCAAAGAGCCAGTGTCTTCCCCTCAGCAATGAGTCCAGGTTCAATAAATGGGGAAGAACATATTTGATCTTGGTTTCTTCCAAAGTGTGTTCAGCAAATATATGGAGCATGGCATGATCTTCTTTTAGAGCTGTATAACTCACGAGTCCAGCTGCTTTGTTTTGTTTCTGTTTTGTTTCACCATTTGGTACATTTCCATTCATGTAATTTGTGGATCCTAGAGCAACTGCAGGAATTTACCTGCTTTTCTCAAATGCTCCACAACAAAGTGACATTTGCTTGTGCAAACAATTACTACCTTCCTGGTAACTTTTGCAGTGGTGTGCTTTTGCACCTAGACTACTCATTCCTTAAAGCTGCTGTCTTCCCATCCTCCATCAGGAGGTAAGTATTGCTGCTGTGGTAACAGCTTGGAAAACAAATGCTGTTTAAAAAGAACCAAACCAAAATGACAAAATGCAGGTTGATCACTGAGGTGGCTGTTTCGTTTTTAGATGGGACCACACATGTCTGAAGTTCCTTGTAGCACTGGAAGTAATCTTGTTCCCACTGCTTTAAAGCACCCCTCATTGTTTTTTGTTTTTAAAATGTTTTGTTTAAAAGTCCAGATTTTCTGAAGTCTTATGATGCAGCTGGCACTATCCATGACTATGTGGTTGCCATGTTGTGTGACCTGAAGAAGCCACTCATGTCTGTCCAGAATGCTGCCAGCTGGGGATATTTTAATTCCAGAAACAAAAGCTGGAATATTGACATGTAAGTGCTAAAGTCACTCAGTGGGTTTTGTGTACTGCTTGTGTGAAGTGAACACCCAGTGTGAACACCTCTTTGGGCCCTAAGTATGAATGTGCTATGGATAAAAAGTGATTGAAAGTTACTCCTGATCAATTGTGGTGTAGCCTGTACTGAAGAACTATTGAGAGTTTGCTCTGGTTTGTAGGGTATGTATGTTTAAATTATAGAAAATCTGTCCCAGTATTTTTAGAAATCCCTAAGACAGCAGAGCTGAGGCACTCGACAGTGGGACCTTTTATGCCAAACTGTTCTCTTCCTTTCTGTGGTGGGATGGGGTGGACAAGTGCATGCTGCAGCCAAGGTGTTACCTCTGTGATGTTAAAAGACAATTATTACTCTCTAGTTCTTTCAGCTGAGTTCCTTTGTAACTCCTAAGAGTTACTGGTGATAATACCTAAGAGTTATTAGGCTATAGGAAGTCTTATAGTGAATTTGTTTATTTATTTACTTATTTTAATGATTTGCTCTTTCAGGGCTGAGTGCTAAGGCCTTATATATTTCAGGGCTTAGGTTAGGCCAGGACTCCAAGATTAAAAAATCTGCTCATGAAGGTATGAAAGAATGTCAGAAACTTGCATTTGGCCTACTGAACTTTTACTAATCTGGTGGTGTTGCTGTAGCAATGTAGTGTATCTTCCAGTTTGGTTGTGTAAGGAGTTTGTTGGACTTAACTCTGTGATCTGGTTTTGAACCACTAACTGCATGACAGCTTAAAGTTCTTTGACACTTAGTTGCATTTTTTTCTGTTTTTGTGATTGTCCCTTTACCCTCGAACTGCTTGTCCATAGGCCATCAGTAGGTTAAACTTGCTGAATACGTACTGCTGTATAATCTCAGGTAATCAGATTGCATGTAAAGGAAAGCTATTTATTCTTCTACACTATTCTAGTTTACCCAGCCCGTTGAACTGGAATGCTGCCCCATCCAAGACAAAGTAGGTGAAAGCATCCATAAATCTAGCAGCCACAAATGTATGGCCAGGTTCATCTGTGACTTCAGATAGGTCTTTGTAGTCGTGCCACACATTCCCATACTGCTTTCCTGCAATAATACTGCTCTGATTGCAGATTGAAAAAATCCGGCTTTCCTGTTCACTTGCTTCCAGAGGTGGGAGACTCTGGCAGCATTGCAGGCAGGACAATCTGTGCGTGGCATGGAATACCCAAAGGAGCAAAAGTAGGAATTGCTCTGGGAGATTTCCAGTGCTCTGTTTATTCCTGTCTGACTGGAAAGACTGATGCAGGTATGATCATTTTGGTATCTTATTTGGTTTTCTCATTCCTTCACAGTAGCCTAGTAAAACACTGATTATTGTTTTTTCTTTTGTGTTCTAGTTCTTAATATCAGTACCTCTGCTCAGCTGACTATCTCAATGCCCCTGGGCTTCCAGCCTCCAGAGACACCAGATCCTTCCTCAGCTGTTACTTATTTTCCCTACTTCAATGGTGACTATTTGGCAGTGGCAGCATCACTTAATGGAGGCAATGTGCTAGCAACATTTGTGGACATGGTGGCACGGTGGACTGAAGAGCTAGGTAAGCTATTTCAAGGATAGTTAAAGCTTAAAATTGAGGTTGATCAGCAAGGTGAAATGAAGCTAAGGCAAAGGAACAAGCCTAGAGCTGTTTTGTCATGCTGTATAAGGAACAAGGTTGTAACTCTTGGGTCATGCTTCCTAGATCTCTGGAATTTCCTGCTG